GGCAAGTTTTGCAGGACTGTTCAGGTAAAACTCCGTGCTGACTAGAGCTCAGAAGCGAATTAGCCAGACAGAAGTAAAGAATTTCATTAAAAATAATTCTTTCAAGAAGCTTAGCCAGAGACGGTGTTTTGTGAACGCCCCGACAGTTATCAACATAGGACCGAGACTCTGACTTGAAGACGGGAATGATGATTACTGTTTTCTATGTTTTAGGAAAGAATCCTTTTGAAATATAAACCGAGAATAAATGACAAAGCAATATGGTAAGGTCGGACGCTTGGTTAATAATCGAATTTGGAATCCCGTCCATTCCTGAGCAGTGTGAGTATTTCAAACGACTTATGTGTTTCTTAATGAGATCTGAGGGGACATCGATTGTACTCAGTGTCCTATCTAAAAGTGATCGAAAGAAAGGGACCGGTTCGGACTCAGTATTAAAGTGTTTTGCAAAGAAAGCACTAAACAACTCCGCTTTGTCAGTGTTATCGATGAGGATGACTTTGTTATCATTTAGCAGGGGTGGAAGTTCATGACCACGCTTAGAGGCGGACCGATGACGGAAGATGTTAGCGACGGATTTGCCAGGATTCGAACCACTGAGAGCAATTGATTCTTTTTGCCTGTCGCGCGCTTGGCGCATCCTTGAGGCCATCTCAAAAATCTCTGTGATTCTAAGATGAACTGATAAGGAACTAGTGGATGGGTCACGCAGCTGTCGTGTCTGAAGAAAATGAGGAACAAGGGAATCTGAAGAATTAAGCTTGAGATATCTACGCGGCACAAACTCTAGGATGCCCTTGGAAACATTGGACATGACATCACGAAGAATGGCTACATCGCTACTGGAGAGGAAGCCACGCCAATCCAGAGATCAAATATAGTTATTTATTAAGTCGTTATCTACGCAAGCGTAGTTTATGTAAGTCCGAACGGAGCTGGTCTTTTTTGAAAAGGCAAGCGGTAAGCAACAATGAATTAATACGTGGCCACTGTCAAAGAGGTCCTTTTTTAAAGCAACAGAAAGAGGAGCAATGTCATTGGTAAAGATTAGATCTGAAATGTCATTATCTCTTGTTGGAGAGCGAACCAGTTGGGACCAATTAGAAAAATTGCCAATATCTTGAAAGGGCTGGAATCTCGGTGGACAGATATTGGAAACCCAGTCTATTTCAGGAAGGTTAAAATCCCCAGTGATTATTTTAACATCGAAAGCAGCTTCCGAAATTAATTTGAAAATTTCACAGAGTTGTGAATCATCACTGGTTAAAGAATTTGGGGGACTGTAGATACCGCCAATAATTGCTTTTCTTTGTGGCTAGAGAAAAACAGATGCAAAGCAGAAGTTTCCCGTTAATGAGGAACCATTCAAGTAATAGAGAGAGTGCTTAAGGTAGTATTTAAAATAAAGAAGACAACCGCCCCCACGCCTAGTCGTGCGGTCTTGACGGTAAAAATCGAAGTCATCTATGAGAAGGGCAGAGTCAGGAATTAGAGTATGGGTCCAAGATTCTGTTACACATATAATATAAGGCGTCATTTCGATAGCAATGGCTCTGATTTGGGTCATCTTGTTTATAACAGATCTGGCATTCAATAATATAATATCTAATGTGTTTCGAACGGCAATGCCATTGTCGACGGTATTTAACAAATTTGTAGACGGATATGTAAGCTGTGAAATAATGATGTTTGGAGAATAAGTATCAGTAAATCTAGAGTTATTGACGTACGGGGTGTCAGCAAGAGAAGGCTGAGTATGAGACCTAATGAATGTGGGGATATAGTTTTCGAACACTGGAATGCTAGGGGAGAAAGAATATGGATAGACTTGTTGGTAGTTGAATTTTGGAGGAAGGGAAATATGAGGAGGAGGAGGAGGAGGAGGAGGAGGAGGAGGAGGAGGGAGCCTAGAAGGAAAGTAGATGCTAGTGGGGGAAGGTAGGCAGCTTTAATAATAAAAGGGTGGGAAATCAGGTTTAGGTTGGAAGTCAAAGGAGGTAGGTTGACGTACCTGAGAGCAATTGACCTTAAGTGGTAGAAAGCCCGAACTAGGTTGGAGCATAAATGACTTAGGGCAATTCATGTGTGAGTTGTTTGCTGGATATATAGTAGGGCTTTGATAAATAACCGGTACGCAGGACAGGGAAATATTTGGAGATATAATTTGAGCTGCGGGGTTTGGAGACGTGCTGGGCTGAACAGACTTGGTAGATCTAAGAGAAGGTGGCGTACCCCTAAATGGAACTGTACTACCTTTCTTTTGGGTCGGAGTCTGATTCAGTTTTCGAGTCTCACCGTTCTGACGCCAAGCCATGGGTGACTTAACTGTAGAGCTTGCAGAACCCAGTTACGAAGATTGCATGGGCGACTACCAGGGGTAAGTGCCGAAATCCGAGGATGATTTGAAATATTATTAATGCGAAAGAGGAGACAGAAGCCCGCTTCTAGTCTTCGAACCCATAAAAATTTTAAGTAATTAGCTGGCATCTATCTGAGTAGGATATATTGGGATGTTCCCTATCTCTGCACATTTTTAATTTTTGAACGACTAGCCTCGTTCATCAAACCAAAGAATGGGCAACAATACTCGAGAATGGGAAGTACAAACATACGATAAAGTCTTAATTTAATTTCAGGAAGATAGAAATTGTAAGAAATCAAGCCACAAATCTGGGCAGTTTTGACTGTAATTCTGTCAGCGTGTGGCGAGAGATCAAGATTACAAGTGTAGCTTAAACCTAAATCATTGATGGCGGTACATTCAGTCATAGGTGTGCCTTGAAAGACCACTGGTTGGAGTAGCCTATCAGGTCCAAAACACATATAGCGACATTTAGACGGAGAGAATTCCAGTAGCCAGTTTGAGCTCCAAACTGAGAGAGCAAGCAAGTCAACATGGATTTGCGCCAGGCAATGAAGTCTGGTAGATTTATTGAAAGAATATACACATTTGAAATCACCGGCATAAATAAATGATTGATAGTATTTAACTGCCGCCGAGATATCATTTACGTAAAACAAGAACAAAAGAGGTCCTAAAACGATGCCTTGTGGGACACCACTTACAAATGGACTTTCACTGGAAAGTGAGGATCTCACCAAAACCTTTTGTTTACGATTAGACAGGTATGACTTGATTAAGTCTATTAGCGGACTGCAAATTCCCAGAGCTTCCAATTTAAACAAGAGTCTTTTATGTGGCAGATTATCGAAGGCTTTACTTAGATCAAAATAAATAGCGACAACAGATAGATGGTCATTACGGAGAGAAGTAAGAAGGTTGAGATACGACAAATGAAATGTTTCACAAGAGCGATCTAGTAAAAAACCATGCTGTGAAAGGTTAATAACTTGATTGGTTATGTTAAAGTTGGTAATTTTTAAGGGGGCAATTTTTTCAAAGGTTTTAGCGAAAGAAGGTATTTTATGGACACCTCGATAGTTCTGAACGTCAGAACGACAGCCAGACTTAAATACTGGAATAATAATAGGAGTTTTCCAATAGTCATGAAAGAAGCCATCTACGAGAAATACTGAAAAGAGTTTGCTAAGCAGAGAAGGAAAATCTCTTAGCTGTTTTATGAGAGAGTTTGGGATATTGTCCGTTCGTACGGAGTGAGAGTTAGGAAGATGGTTCATAAGTTTTCGAATAGTTTCAGGAGAAAAATTAATGATGCTGAGAGATGCATCGGACAACGGAGGAATTAAAGGGATTGGGTCAGATTCAATGGTGTACTATTTGGAAAATTTAACATTTCTGCTTTGCCTGACTCCTCTGTAATGAGGGTATCGTTGGTACCAAGAAAAGGCGGAATGACTTGGTGGTATTTAGCCGATGGTTTTTGACGGAAGATCTGAGCAACTGATTTAGAGGCATTCACGTCATTAATAGCTAAAGACTCTCTACGCCTATCTCGCCTAGCATTTCCGAAACTAATTCAAATAGTTCGACGATTCTTAGGTGAACTAATAATGTGCTCACAGAAGGATCTTTAGGCTTCTCCCGTAGCTTTTTAAGTCCGTTTTTAAGAAAGTGTGGGAAAGCGGTGGAGGTGGAGGTCTTAAGTGAACTAAGTCCAGAAGACCTTCTGTTAAGCATTATAATAAATTGTTGAAAAAATTTAGATTGTTATTTCAAAAAATATTGTGCCAATCAAAGAAAGCTATGGGTATTGTAGGCGCGATTAGAAGAACCTTCGTCAATTTTGATGAAGAACTTTTCGGCCGAGTATTTGGCGCATACGTTCGACCAATGTTGGAATATTGTGTCCAGGCATGGTGTCCCTGCACGAAAAAAGATTACACCCTACTTGAGAACGTACAACGTAGAGCGACCAGGCTAGTCGGCGGATTATGTGGCTTACCTTATGAGAGGCGGCTGGAGAAGCTTAAAATATTTCCTCTCTCTTGTAGGCAGTACAGAGGGGACATGATCATGGCCTTCAGGATCGTCCGAGGGCTAGACTGTGCTCTTCAGTTTGACGACTTTGTAGGCCTTTGTACACTTTTGATTTGTTCCACTACATTGCTTTTACACCTGACCTGCCTGTACATTTGTTTGACTAAACTGAGAATACACTTTTTTGAACAACGCTACGGCGGTCAACATGTGTTCTGGTCTCGAGTGTGTTTGACGTCGTTATTTCTTGGCGTGCGCTTGTCATCTCTCAATTCTCTTAGCCACTCGTTCGTGCTGCCGGAGACTTCCTCCTCGAAGCTAACTTCAACGGACCATCGCGGAACCTAGAGCCTCCCTTCAACCATTCCTTCACCGGGACACTATCTCCCTTCTTGATAGGATTCTACCTTACGTGAGTCTGGAACATTCCTTTTCTGGTTCTTTCAATCTGTACATTCCTTTTTGTTCGTAAACACAATTCCCCCATTCGTAGTTAGTTTTTTTTGCAGATATTATCGTTTGTAGTTTCTAAGTCCACATTTACACTACAAAACTGGTGACCCCGCTTTTTCCTGCATTCCGGACCTTTTTTTTATTTACCATGGCCGGTGACGACTCCCAAAAAGACTCACTCGACATTAACACCCTTTCTTTTAAACTGCCACCGTTTACCCCGAGCAACCCTCGCGTTTGGTTCAGGCAGATCGAGGCTCTTTTTGTGACAAGCCGCATTACCAGCGAGCGTACCCGCTATTCGTACGTTTTGCAGTCACTCCCTTTTGATGTAGCGGTCACCGTCGAAGACCTCCTTGACCCCATTCCAGCAGACAAACCATATACGCTGCTGAAGGAAGCGGTTATCCAACGGGTAGCTAAATCGGCTAACCTTATGCTGCGGGAACTTTTCACTCAAGTAGAGCTAGGTGATCAGACACCTTCTCAGCTCATGCGTCACATGCGCTCACTACTCGCTGGTAGGCACATGGATGACGCCATTTTTCGCGAGATTTGGTTAGAAAAGTTACCGGTGCCTATGCAGCAGGTTTTGGCCATGTTGGACTCGAATACATCTTTAGAGAAACTAGCTACCCACGCCGACCGAATCAAAGAGTGTTACCCCATGGGTGCCTCGTGTTCCACTATCCAACAGCCACCGCCTTCCAAAGGCAAGCCCCATCAGGGCATTGACTCTGATTCAGAAGGCCCACCATTACCAGCGCACGACACTCCCTATTCGGAAAAAGCGTCATGCTCTTGCACAACCCGACGCGCGCCCACATCAGCCGGTCCCCCCAGAACACCCACCGCCGCTTATCGCACCGATTACGACGACCTGAGAGACACTGTGCGTCTCCTTTGCACTCAGGTGAGTAACATGTGCTCTGCGCTTAACAGTCTTCAAGCAGCTAGGAGACAACCATGCTCACATCGACGGTCTAAATCCCGTGAGCGGCGTTCACAACCCTCATGTTGGTATCACCGCACTTATGGCCCGAAAGCCCGAAAGTGCATACCTCCTTGTTCGTTCGCTTGTCCTCCACAGTTAAACGACCACGCCAGCCAGTAATGGCGACGACTGCTGCTGGCCCGTCGCGACCCAGTCGCCTTTTCTATATCGATGACAAGTCGAGCGGCCTTCGTTTCCTGGTCGATACCGGTGCCGAGGTCAGTGTCATCCCGCCTCTAAGGCGTCACCGCCTCAAGCCATCGCAATTCTCATTGCAGGCTGCAAATAGCACCACAATCAGCACCTACGGCCAACGGTCCCTCACTTTAGACCTTGGTCTCCGACAACGTTTTCAATGGGTCTTTATTGAGGCTGACGTCAAATCGCCCATAATCGGGGCCGACTTTTTGTCATCTTTCGGCTTAACAGTCGACGTCAGACACCGTCGCCTCTCAGACACCACCACCCAACTCTTTACTATAGGTACCAGTAGCTCTGAACGGTCGGTTGGCATTCATGTCACCATCCCCAGCACCCCTTTCGCTGACATTTTGAAGGACTACCCGTCCATCACTAAACCATGCCATTTTACCGAAACCGTTCAACACGGAGTGAAACACCACATTGTCACGGCAGGGCAACCAGTGCACGCTCGTCCGCGTAGACTCCACCCTGACAAACTCCGAATAGCAAAGAACGAATTCGACCATATGATGAATCTGGGCATTATACGCCCTTCATCTAGCCCATGGGCCTCACCACTGCACATGGTGCCAAAGAAGTCCCCTGACGATTGGAGACCGTGCGGTGATTATCGAGCCCTAAACAGGTCCACAGTCCCTGACCGGTACCCCATTCCCCACATTCATGACTTTTCCCACATGTTAGCCGGCAAAACTATTTTTTCCAAGATAGACCTCGTCAGGGCGTGCCACCAAATCCCGGTCGCGGAGGAAGATATCCCAAAGACCGCTATCACGACACCCTTTGGGCTGTTCGAATTTATTCGCATGCCCTTTGGTTTGCGCAACGCTGCCCAGTCGTTTCAGCGCTTCATCGATGAGATCTTGCGGGGCCTTCCATTCGCTTACGCCTACATCGACGACATACTCGTCGCAAGCTCTTCGGCAGAGGAACATGCCTCGCATTTACGCCTCATATTCGATCGTTTCCAGCAACACAGTTTGCAATTAAACGTCGACAAATGCCTTTTTGGCGTTAATTCTCTCGATTTCCTTGGCCACCACGTCGATCAGCACGGAATCACTCCACTTACAGAGAAGGTGCAATGCATCTTGTCTTTCCCTGTTCCCAACACACTCACTCAGCTGCGACGTTTCATAGGCCTTATCAACTATTACAGACGTTTTATTCCCCACTGTGCGGCAATCCTGGCTCCCTTGACTGACCTTTTGAAGTCGAAGGCAAAACCTATTGAACTTTCACCGGCAGCCCACACAGCTTTTGAGGAAGCGAAAAAGGCTCTTGCCGATGCCACCATGCTGCACCACCTCAGCTCTGACGCTCATACACAGCTCATTTTGACCACCGACGCTTCCAGCAGTGCTGTCGGCGCAGTCTTGCATCAACAGGTGAATAACCAGTTGCAGCCTTTAGCTTTCTTTTCACAGAAGCTACAACCGGCGCAGACTCGCTACAGTACTTTCTCTCGCGAGCTCCTAGCCGTCTACTTGGCCATCCGTCACTTTCGACACCTTTTAGAGGGCAGAGACTTTTCGGTCCACACCGACCACAAGCCTCTCACTTACGCCCTGAAGGCCAAGCCAGATCGGTACTCGCCCAGGGAAGTTCGTCACCTGGACTATATTTCGCAGTTTACTGCCGACATCCGCTACGTCCGAGGCAGCGACAATGTCGTTGCTGATGCATTATCCCGTCCGGACATCAACACACTCACATCCGATTTCGACCTGGCGAGGCTTGCAGACCTCCAAACAGCAGACGAGTCCATCGCGGACTTACGTACGTCTACTACTCTGCAGCTTCGAGATGCACCACTTCCTGCGTCACCAGGTACGATTTTGTGCGATTGGTCCACAGGCACCCCTCGTCCTGTTGTTCCACTATCCTATCGTAAGGTCGTCTTTGACCACTTCCACTCCCTCTCCCACCCTGGCATTCGCGCTGGACGTAAGTTAATCGCGGCTCGTTTTGTTTGGCCGAAGATGAATTCCGACATTGCTCTTTGGACTAAACAGTGCCTCGCATGCCAGAAGAACAAGGTTCATCGACACACTTTCTCCCCTCCAAGTACCTTTGCGGTCCCGGATGTTCGATTTAATCATGTTCACTTGGATTTAATCGGACCGTTACCCCCTTCACGTGGGTACACACATATCCTGATGGCCGTTGACCGTTTCACACGATGGCCGATTGCCGTTCCTATCTCGGATACCTCGGCAGAAAATATCGCCATGGTTTTTCTGACCCACTGGATCTCAACTTTTGGTGTTCCGCCACCCTTACCACCGACCGTGGAAGTCAATTCCAATCTGGCCTCTTCCGTGAGTTCACTAGACTGCTCGGGTGCGCGCACATCACAACCACGGCATATCATCCTGCCTCCAACGGTCTCGTTGAGCGTCTACACCGCCAACTGAAGTCCGCACTGATGTCCCAAACAGAGTCAGCTACTTGGAGTGTGAATCTCCCTCTTGTGCTTTTGGGCATCCGATCTTCTGTCAAGGAGGACATCCAAAGCACCGCCGCCGAACTTGCGTACGGTACACCCCTCCGTCTGCCTGGCGAATTGGTGCAGACTTCCACAACAAACACTAACATCACGAGCACCTTCGTACAGCAGTTGAAACAACGCATGGCTCATCTGCGTCCAACCCCCACTCGTCTGACCTCGAAACACGTGTTTGTACACTCGGACCTTAAATCCGCCCCTTTTGTTTTCGTCCGGCATGACGCAGTGCGCAAGCCCCTTTGTTCTCCCTACGATGGCCCATATAAGGTCGTTCAGCGGAATGACAAGTTTTACGTCCTTCAAAAGGCTGATAAGACCGACACGTTCTCCATTGACCGCCTTAAGCCAGCCTATCTGGAGTGCCTCCCGTCGACCGGTGCGCCATCCATTCCCCCTACTACGTCCTCACCCGATACACCCACTCCGCTCACCTGCCCTCCATCACCACACTTGACCATTCTACCCACCCAACCGGATCCTCCTCCTACACCACCGCCTAGTACGTCTCGCTCCGGTAGACATATCCGTTTTCCCGCCAGACTTAAAGACTTTGTAGTGTAATTTTTTTCCCGTTTTATTTTATCGAGCGTTTTGTTTCTTCGGCAAACGCTCTGGTGGGGGAGTTGTGTAGGCCTTTGTACACTTTTGATTTGTTCCACTACATTGCTTTTACACCTGACCTGCCTGTACATTTGTTTGACTAAACTGAGAATACACTTTTTTGAACAACGCTACGGCGGTCAACATGTGTTCTGGTCTCGAGTGTGTTTGACGTCGTTATTTCTTGGCGTGCGCTTGTCATCTCTCAATTCTCTTAGCAACTCGTTCGTGCTGCCGGAGACTTCCTCCTCGAAGCTAACTTCAACGGACCATCGCGGAACCTAGAGCCTCCCTTCAACCATTCCTTCACCGGGACACTATCTCACTACTTGATAGGATTCTACCTTACGTGAGTCTGGAACATTCCTTTTCTGGTTCTTTCAATCTGTACATTCCTTTTTGTTCGTAAACACAATTCCCCCATTCGTAGTTAGTTTTTTTTGCAGATATTATCGTTTGTAGTTTCTAAGTCCACACTTACACTACAACTTCTTCGAACTGGCGCGGACGACAAATCTTTGAGGGCACCCATACAAATTGAAGACGAAACATGCCAGACTCGACTTGCGGGCACAATTCTTCTCTCACCGGCTGGTTGAGGGATGGAACAAATTGCCGAACTCCGTTGTCTTAGCGGAAAACGTCGAGACATTCAAAAGAAGATTACATAAACTTATGCTTGATGGTCACACATTTACAAGATATCAATGACTGGCATAACTGCTATGTAAATAGCTGCATGCTTTTTTTAATACGTCTATCTGTCAATAGGGTTTTCCAAGGCTCTGCCTCTATCCCTCATATATACTGAATTATACTGAATTAAGAGTAAAGTTATTTATTGCTTCCTTGTTAATATTAGCAAAGTCAAAAATAACACGTTGTACTGTCGGCTTTGCAGAAATGGCAACTGGAAGGCGAAAATGGATTAATGCATGATCTCTTGCGAAAAGGTCATGATAGAAATCCATAGAAAGACGAGTAAATTTCAGTCCAAACCGTCTCTCAACCAATCACAACGGTTGGATCCAGACTTTGGACATTATCGACTGGCGGGGTGAAATTACTATGGACGAGAACTAACAGTGGGGCAACCTCGAAGTCCTAACTCTAACCTTTGCCCTCCCCGCCTTTGTGTCATCAAATCAAGACCCTCGGGTTCCAGCACTTGTACAGTAGAACATTTAGCAGGACCTGTGCGTAGGTTAACCCTAGTGGTATACACGCCATTTTTCTTCTAGCTGCCGTTCCTTACAGGTTCGCTACACTAAACAGCTCATCACCGATAACCATCAAACCAGAGGAGATGGGTGAGCAATTTCAACACCAAAAAGAATTACCGGGACAATGTAAAGATGCAACGACAAAGGCGAATGTAACAAGGCAGATATAGAATTCAACAAAGATAGTTAACAATGAAGGAGGAAGTCATTTGCGTAACAATAAAAATTACTAATCGTTACTCGTGGTAGACATCATTAACAAAATCCTCTTCACCTGAATAATTGGTCAGTCGTCTAAATCTTGCCTGACAATAAACATAACTTGAGATATTTACCAAACCATATGACTTACGTAAACAGTAAGCTTTACTGAGAAACTAAAACTTACCAAACCCCAATCCTAAACCTGTCTACAACCTAAACCCTAACCCCAAACACCAACCCTTACCACAACCATAACCTAAATCCAAACCCAGCCCCTAGCCTAGCCCATAGCGCCATCCTTGATCCCAACCTTAATCCCGCCTCCAACCCTCAGCCCTTAACCCGAATACTAGCCTTGACCATAACCACAGCTCTAACAACAACCCTAACCAAAACCATTAACATACCATGTGACTAACCCCATTAGTAAATTTTATTAAGAACTTGACTCATACTAAACCCCAATCCTAACTTCTAATCTAACCCAAACCTTCGCAATAACTCCAATGCTAAGAGGGTTGTAAAGTCGTGTGAATTTACCAGTTTAAAGTTACAGCATTCAACGCTATTGAAGTAAGTTAGGAATATTCTAAGAACACCCACAAAAAAACTAATCATCGAACAGGCATTAACGACCAATAGGGAACGCGCGGTCGCGGGCGACCCTACAAGACTCCTCGCGCAATTAGGACAGGTCGTTCGTCCTAATATTGTAACTAGCAAAAATGCGGGATCGAGACGAGCTTATTATTTAAATAGATTGAGGCGATCGCACTGACCCTCATCAATGATAAGTATCTGAGCGTGGTCTGTCCCGTTAAGTGCAGTGCGGGAACTTTTGATCCCCCCGGTGGCGATACTGCAACCGGGGGAGGGGCTAGCCACCATGGAGCTGCAGCTCCGCCTTCCCCAGTTTATAGTTGTAAGTGGATTTGGATTCTCTCTTGTATATGACTACTAATAATGAGAAATAGACTGCTTTGTAAACTAATAAACGGTCCCTCGGCTTTGCTTCGGTCGGACTATCTTTTTGTTGGATTCTTGATAAGGCGTACGTACGCCATATCATGTATACGTGAGTTCTGGTATGTCTACCTCAGAAAATGGAAGAGATACATCAAAGAGCATTGTGATGAATTCGAATACTGACTACAGAACCGGCAAGGTCCCATGACACCTTGCCGGTTGCAAATGATAGACAGTCAGAGAGTTCGGTCGTTGCTAGATAGCCAACCGTGTTTTCTCAGGAATTAAGACAGGCGTGCATGCCATAATACAAACTAAGGTAAACTATGAGATCACTCTATTCAAGGGCAAGATATATATTGAACATTTTTGCTAACTTCACATCTAGAACGACGGAATAACGCGTCATTTGTTCCGTTTTATTAGTGGTGTGTATTAGTTGATGTATTCTGTTTGCAGACGAACTACACAGCTGATTCCCTCGATGTATGCATTTGTAGTCAAACACTTCATCCCAGCCATTTTCTGTATTTCACACATGCTGGCGCAGAGTAAACTGGTTACCTCCCCATGGCTCCTCACTAACTTTTGGGGAATTTTGACTTCTGAGGTACTTGCATCTTGCTGAAACATTGGCCTCTTGCTTTGTAAAAATCCATAGTAATCGGTATAGCGACCAGCCCAATTATTCAAAGTTTACACCTGCGTGGCTTGAAATTTACTCGGAGCTTAGTTTAGATCCGCAATTTCTTAAGGCCTCAGCTTTCCATATTTGCAGCTGCATTTGCATATCGGTGTATTTTTCGTTCTAATTAGTCTTACTATCCGTGATCTTTGGTTGTCTTTCAATTTTCTTCATCCTATTCGTTCGTGTTTTTGCCTCATGGACACATAGGCATTTTGTGAGCAAAATGGTCGTCTGGGTTCTCGAAAAAATGGCTGGCTCATTTGGGGAAAATGAAAATTAGTTGCGGCCTGTTTGCTCCATGCTATTTAAAGTCTTGCTATAATTACACCCTTCGATTGGCCAGCTTTTGAAGTACGCCGTTGTCCTGCACTTGCTATGCACCTGCATGCCGGTCAAGCTTATCGGCTCCCACGCTCATTGCACGCCGCCAACTGTGATAAGCATGTAGCGGCCTAACAAATACATCCTGGCGATCCACTATCCTTATCAGGCATTGTCTGTGATGATGGATTCGAGTGAGAATCCGAAACCTCGGTCTAATAAAGTACCTGTTCCAGCGATCGTGTCTCCTTCTCCGTGAATACGCCCTTCGTTTAACTGCAACTTCAGTACTGTGTACCCGTTTAGTTACTATACCTACGTCGTTCCTCCGAAAGCAGGATTAACATTCAGCATGCCAAATCGCCTCCAAACGTTTAAGGCCGTTAAACTTCGAACGTCTGCAGCTGTGAGCGGATGTCGTCCAAACATTCGGGATATCAAATAGAACTGTTAAGACTGACCCTAGTTCCCCCAAGTCTAATCGCATTAAACAAAATGTTGACCAAGAAACGCGAGCATGCACGAACCGCGCAGCCGATATTCACGCTGGGGACTAAGGACTCGTGCAGTAGATTACCCGAGGACGTGCTCTTATTCCTCCGCATGCACACGCTCTCATAAATACTTTGACATTTTTGCCTGTGAATCGTATGACTTTCATCTTAGGTTTCAGCCTTAGAATGCACTCTTGGTAGGCGATGTCGGTTTCGCATGGTGTGCACATACTGTCCTATGTTCTTCGAAGTCTATGTTTGGTCAGATGGAAGTAATTTTTTGTCCTTTTCCTCATCTTAACCTACTGGCTGTGTTCTTACCAATCGCCTCCACATGTTTCCTGCACTTTCTCTTTTCCCACATGCTTTTGTTTCGTTTCCAGTCCAAGTTATAGCTGAAAAGGTAATTGCT